GTGTTCGGTTGTTTTCTGTACGCAAAGCATGGTTGTTCCAGGCCTCCGTAATGTGGCTTTTTTGAATCTCAGGAATAAAAACTGTGATCCAGAAGCTGTGAATCCTCAAGAGAGTGGAACATACTGTAAAGGGATTGCAACAGATGCAAAAACACAACCAGAAATGTATGATTCTTTGGTTATGGACTGTAATGAAACTGCGGCACTCAATACCCTGCACAAGATTCATGAACAAGGCAACCTGAAAGTTCTCACCGCCATAAACTGATCGGACTCTGAACGGTAGTCCATAGAGGTACGTGGCTTTACGAAACTGAGACAGCACAGTGGTGGCACGGTTGTCAGTGTTGCAATTCAGATAAGTGATTAGCCGAGACTGTCCATCTATGGCACCATGAACTGGAAAGCCCCATCTAAAATGGTGAATACAAAGACAGAACAAATACTTGTGCTTATGTCAAGAAATGGACTTAAAAGCACTGTATCATGCCCACAGCCGTCTAAAAGCCTGAACCAGCCCTAATGTTTGTTTTTTTCCCTCAGTTTGCAGTGCATTTGAATGCACCCTGAAGAGGTGCAGTTGAAAAGCATTGGTAATTAGTGTGGACCATGAGTGTGTGTTTTAAGCTGTGTTGCAGTCATTGATGGGCAAGCTGGGCATGAGGCAAGACACTGCAGAAGAGGATGAAGGCTCTCCCCACCTGGAAACCCTCTCAAAAAGGAGCCAAGGCTAACTAGCCAGAAGATAAAGTAAGCTGCTCTCTATTTGTGCTCTCCCTCCCCCTACTCACCTCCAATTCTTTCACTGATCATCAGGCTATGGAAGGACAAACCTGCTCCTAATCAGACTCTGGACTCTGTCACTGGAAGAGCTTCATGATTAGCCCCCCAAGGATCACAAAGGCCTGAAGCACTGAGAGTCAACCAACCCCATGGTGACCAAAGATTTTGCTGTCGCCCCCTGAGCTCCAGTCCAGAGTACTTATCACCATTTTTAAAATAAATTGCACTTTGCCTTTTATCTGCCTCTGTGTCTGGTTTTTGGCCTAATTTGGTTCCCGACTGGTCCAGTTTTGAGAACTTTTAAATATTTAATTGGTGTGTTGTGACAGTTTTTAAACAAGTAACCATTTAAAGTGTGAAATAACAAATTAAAAAAAGGCATCAAATAGTTAAAAGGTTAACACCTTTTAACTATTTGCTATTTTTTTAGATTAGATTAGATTCAACTTTATTGTCATTGCACAGAGTACACGTACTAAAACAACGAAATGCAGTTAGTATCTAACCAGAAGTGCAAAAGAGCAGTTAAAGTGCAAGTGTGTGCTGTACAGGTATGTAAGGTGAGGGTGTGCATAAGTAAAGTGGAGATGTGCATATGTAGGGTACAATAAATTACACTGTGAATTACAATGAATTACAAAGATGAGATAGCGAATTACAATGATGAGGTAGCGAATTACAATGATGAGGTAGCGGGAATAAATACAGTGAGTGCTAGACAATGAGTAGAGACGGTGCTATTATATGCTTCTTGTTTTTCCTCCTCCTCCTCATCCTCGTGTGGCTTATGAGCTTCATCTTCAGTGTGATGGTCGTCTTCTCCCTCAACAATATCATTGTCCATGTTCTCATATTCTGTCTTCTTCCTTTGGTGTTCTCTCATCAGCTTCTCCCGTCTGTCGGCCTCCCGGTGCTGCTGACAATGCAGTATTAAATGTCATCACTGTCCTTTTTTATTAGGCTACCACAAGAAATACAGCCTACATAATCAAGACAGACAAAACAGGCTGCCAGGGTCAAACATGCTTACACTATAGCACCCCAGTTAAATAGGTATTGGCCAATAAAGACGACCATTGCATAGGTTCACTTGTTAATGCCATAGAAAATCATGAGGGAATAAGTCACCCAGTGACTATAAAGCATCACACTTCAACTTTAATGGTAGCCTGTTTCTTTAATGCTCAATAATGTATGTGGGTAGTTATTTTTTAAGCTGCAAAATGATTTTAAAAGCCATTATTTAGGCAGCCTGTGTGAGAAGTACTAACACTGTGCATCTGTGTTGTCCCTATGGTTTCCCAAAATGAGACTTATACTGTAAAGCAGTGCTGGTGTCAAAAGTGTGAAGAATCATATGTGTTTGTCCTACCAAGAATGGCAACATTGCTCATGAAAAGCAGAGTTGGGTGGAAAACTACAGCCTCACACAGGCTTCCTAAATAATATCTTTCATAATGGACACTGGATGAATATTTGTTTGTTGGTTTTCTTGACAATGACTGAAATAACATTTAGGAGGAGAAAGTCTGTTCTATATTCATCAGCTGATTGCATTCCCATATAATTGTCAGTAGCACTGATTGATTGTGTGCTGCATGGCCAAATATTGAAAACCTGACCTATAGCTATGACTACATCATTACAGCATAGAGGTCATAGACTGTGGTTAACCAACATTTTTACCATGATGAATTCACCCTATGAGGCACATATTTCCATCTATGTGCCACAGGCTGTTGTGGACCCCTCTGACCCTGACAATATAACACTGAGCATACAGGTATGTGCCATTCTGCTGGAATTCACTATGTAATGTAAGACTGTGAGCAGTCTTACATTACAACCCTGTGAGCCTCACACTATCCAGTACCCACTATCCAGTACCCACAACAGACTATACACTGTTTTGTTTCTGATATAATTATCAAAAAGTGGAAAAATAATCACAGTTTTTGAATTCTTATCATTGAAAAAGATTTAATATTCAATCATTTTTCTTTTTTTCCACAATAATAAAAAATAAATTCCCACAGACTGACATATGATTCAACACGGTGCTGCTCAGCTCTTTCAGCTGGGTTTAGGGCTGGTTCATTGGTGGGGGTCTGGGGATTGGGGGACAAGTCCTGGCAGCAGGTAGAGCAGGGACAGCTGATTTAGTCTGAACAGTTTTGTAAAGGTTTACCTGTGTTGATTAACAGTCAGCTACAAGAGGAGCAATATTAAGTACCTGATGTTAGAGGAGCTAAAGCTTGTTTCACTATGGACTAAGTTCACAGGTTAATTTACAAGACTCACAGACTACACCCACCTTTCTTACACATGGGACAAGTTCACCTCAAAGAAACTATAAAGACTCCTAACCCTACATCACAGATCATCGTGGTGGATGAACTGGGTAAAACAGGAATTTCACCAGGAGCCCATATTTGGGCAAAGAGGGTTAGTGTGTATTGTGTTTTACCAATTCCCTTTTTAAAAATGATATGATATAATATTATATTGTATGATGTATAATTCTGATGTCAGTCAACGTAATAAGTGTTTGATTTGTGTAAGAACAAATCCTGCTGGCTTTTATTTTATACAGTAACTGTGCATCCTGTTGCTTTTCCACAGAAAGGGGAAAAGATTTACTTGCCAATTTTCTGATGGAGACAGACATGGACAAATATCAAAAATGCCAAAGTTTATTTTTTATATATTTATTTGAGTATTTTCTGTGTCCATTTTCAACTGTCCCTTAGTGAGCAGTTCAGGCTGTGCTGACCTGTAGCTGTGCTGCATCATCAACCTTTAGTGACTGAAAGTTATTGAACCTGCTGGCAGCCGGATGCAAAGAGTTGCAGGGATTATGTATTTCTGTAATCCAACCCTGAAGTTGGATTACTCTGGTTCCCTTCTCTAAAAGCCAATTAGATTTTTCCATTGTCTTTGGATTATTAGAAAAAATTAAGTTGAATGATGAATGATGTTTGAAGCTTAAATACAATCAGCAGTAGAGAACAGCTAATCTTATAAACCAACTACACCATGGTCACATGACTTAACATCACCACCACTAAACTTCAACTTGTAGTTTGATTTTGCTCTGACCTCTTTTACAAAAACCTTTCCTCTGACAAAGTTAGTAACAGTTTGTATAAACACAACGAGGCTGTAAAGATGGACTGGTGAGTTGATTGGTATTCATGTTCAACGTGATGACGTTTAACGTCCCTGACACCCTCTGTAGTCTCATTTAGACACTTATTAGCAACTGAGATGTAAAAGCTTAAAGAAATCAGGACTGGAGTATTTACTGATCGATTCTATGTTGTTGAATAAAATATGAAAATGTCTTGAGCTTATGTTAACCGCAGACCTTAATTCAGTCAAGACACATATAACAAACCAGAGACTTCAGGACCAGGGAACAGGAAGTGATAAAATGCAACCGATTTCTGGGTTTTGGGATGTTCCTGCAGCCTTCATTAGTGTCTGCACTGGAATAATGACTGTATGTGCATAAAACAGAAGAAAATACTCCTCTGGAAGCAGTTCCACACATAAACACGTGTTTCTGAAGGTGCTGTTGAATATAGAAAATGAGGAGTTATGAGGGATGTCAGTATTAGCTGTAAATGACCTCTGCAAATATTTCTTTATTAATATATACTTCTAACCTTCTTGCATCTTTACTCCGACTCAGTCCTCAGTTACCACCTCTCAGTTACCTGAGACACATAACAGCTGTAAGATTCTCCACATGATGATTTGGAGTTTACTTATTATTTGTGAAACATGTGGTGATACAATAACATCATATCCACTGGATCAATATTGATTATCAGAATTAAGACCTGGTCCCTGACTGTTGGTTCACCACCTACAGCTTTAATCCATGTGCTGTGGGTATGACTGAAACTCCATAAGCAACAGGAATGAAAAATAAAAAGAGGGAGTTTGTGGTGGAAGACACATCTGTTAAAGCTGGACTCTCCTGGCACTGCCCATGAATATTAGTGAAGTGTCATTGTTAACACACTGGAGTCTTCATTTACACACATGTTGATGTTATCAGTACCTGCAGCTCTGCTCAGTTTGTGATTGGACATGTCAGATTGCAGCAGCAGAGGTTCATCTCTGCTCTGCTGACTGAGTGTTTGGAGAACAAGAGTCCAACAGTGAATCTCAACCTTGTTCTGCACTGTCTATAGTCTCTATCTTAAACTTCATATCCTGGGCAGGAAGTGCGTCATGGTCATGGTGGGTGTAACCCGGTTGCCTCTCTTGGTTTTGCCGGTCTTGCTGAGGCCAATGTACATGCCGGGGTAGACAGCTGATTCATAGGCATTGTAGTTGTTGGCAAGGAGCTTCTCCTTGAACTTGCATTCATCATTGTAGTGGCCCTGAGGAGAGGAAGAGGAGGATGAAGAGAAACAGTTATTGTTGAACTCAGTTATTGTTATAGTATGTGAGAGCTTCCATTTTTAAATGTCACAGAAGCTCAGACCAGGATTTAAACACTGATCCTTTAAGACCTGTGGAAAACATGTATTTATTTATTGTTTATCGTTACTGATCATACACACATAGACATTTCATTCTGCTCATTAGTTTATTTACAGTGACAGTGCTGTGTTGTGTTGCTCTGAGTTAGGAAACAAGACAAAGACTGTCCTCCTGAAGAAAACATAGTTAGTCTTTGCAGCAGGTTGTTATGACCCATATTTAGGTTTTGTAGCTAAGTGACATCTAGTGGTCGTAGTAATTATGACAGGAGCAAAGGGAAAAGTGTGGTGACAGAGTATAAAGAGAAACAAAGTCCATGTCAGGAGAAGGTTGTGGTGGCTGGATGAATATGACACAGGAGAGCGTTGTTCAATTCCTGTGTGAAACCAGCAGTTTATGTTGTTTCTATTATCAGTGACTGTTTGTTGTTATTATTGTAACCATGACCAAAATCGTCTAATGTTAAGGAAGTACATATTTTAACCCAAATCACCATCCTATCCTAAACCTAACCAAGCCATGACCATAACAATGGAGACGAAGTTAGGTACGCTGCTTGTGTTTATTACTGTAACCATGAAAATCGAGGTCCGGTACTCCTGCTGCCATAGGGGCGCTATTTCAGGAGACACTCCTGTGGGTTGTTTCAGAGGGTTGATAGTTGTTCAGGTTGGAGGAGTCATGTTAATAAATGTATGTATGTATGACATAAAAATATGTCAGATGTGTAAATATTATATAATCTTACTATACTACCGGGGACCTGTCACTGACATAATGAATTCCCTGCCCACCACCCTGACCTTAATCATCAGTACTAAATACCTAACCCTGACCATAAACTTGGTTCTAATCTAAACCCTAAAACCAAATCTTAACCCTCAAACAGCCATTTTTGTTCCCACAAAGGTATCGGACCCCACAGGTACAGTAAATACACACACATGAGGAAATTATTTCATCAAATAAGGGTCTGTCTGTTTGTGCCCCCCTGTCCTGAACCATTGACACCCTGTGAGCATCAGGAGAGCCACATTTGGCGACTTAAGTATGCCTGGGCAGAGATGTCACAGCTGTATGAAGAATAGCATACAGCTGTTTTCACTGTGTCACCTGCTCACAGAGGACAGTATACAGACTCCCTCACAGAGGTCTGAGAGCAGCTGCAGCCAAAGGTCAACCCACCCCCTACAACCTGAGCCCAACCTTAACCAAGCCACCTGCCTCTGTACACACAGAGTTAGAGGAGTAACTGGATGACTCACTGCTGTTTATCTCAGTGCTAATAATGTGCTTGTTAAATCATGGATTATATTCTTGACATGAACCCAGTGTTTCAGTACCAATTGTACCCTATCTTATGTTGTCATTGATCACATTATGTTGTTACATTAGTGACACAGCCGCATTTGCATCATAACGTATTAAAAAGATAAAACATGAGACTCTTCTTCCAGAGTTGGAAAGAAGCTGTGATGCACAGGATGAAGATGGATGAGATGCTGGTCTCCTACATCTGCCACATGAACACAGCCTGGTACCATCTGCATGTGATCACTTAAGCTCATGCTGCGTCAGCCCTTGTACTCTGTACTCTGGTAAAGACCAGGAAGTCTACCTGTTTGAGTCCACTGACAAGGTAAACTGTCCTATTCACCCTGAGCACTCCATCCATACTTAGCACTGTAGCTATGTTCCTCTACAGGATCCCTATGCTATAAAACAAAGAACCTGGCTAATCTCCGCCCCCTTCTCTGTTGGACTATAGAATTTCCAGCGAGCGAGCAATTAAAGCTGATTTCATTCCTGCCTATGCTACCTCGAGACCTGTATCCTATCTTCCTGCTCATCCAGCATCAGTGCTGCCAAAATCACTTTTTACAATAGGATCAGCAGTACCACAGACACTCCAGCTTTAAAACCTTACTCAATCCTCCACCACCCCCACCACACACAAACCTCTCAGCCCATATCTTTGCCTCCTTCTTCACTGAAAAGGTGGAGGCCATCAACTGCTAATCTCTGAACCTTTCAGAGTCAACCAGTCTCTTCTGTTTAAGGACACACCACTCTCCACATCACTTTCATGCCACTCTCTGCCTCCTCTGGTCAGTCCCTCACCACCTCCCTCACTTTGCCCACTTGCTGAACATGTACATTAAAGGAACCACACTAATCCGGTTTAAGTCAGGACTTAAATCATTCAATGGTGTCTTCTTTGCCTAAGAACATTGATTATACATGCTTAATATTAAAAATGGATACAAAATTCAGGAACTTGGAAATTTTCTTAACAGTGTGAAATAAGAAGACAAATGTATATAATGCATTTTATTAATTAACTTTGTTACAGAACACTATTATTAGATGCTTGAGGACTTGAATCTCTTGTTGAATTGATCAACTTAGAAAAGCACGTTTTTGATGTGTCAGACAAAACCTGTTCCCTTACATGGTTTGTTGGCTGAGACTTTTGTCTATAACTATATCTATTTCAAATGAATGTGTTTTTTTAAATAGAAGACCTAAAACATGTTTTGTCCCTTATCTCAAGAATCAGTGTCCAGTTTATGAGATCAATTTCAGTTTGTACACATTAATGACGAATCCTCCATGAAAACAAAAGTTAGATATGGAGTTCCACAAGGATATGTGTTTGGATCAGTTCTATTCATACAATATTATTAGGACCACTCAATCATTATTATCCGGCTGGAACAACAGGTCTCTGAAGACTCTCCAGCTGATCCAGAATGCTGCAGCAGAGTATTGATAGGAAGTACAAAAACATTATTGGTCAGACATCATCATATCTTAAAGAGTTCAAAGTCCTCTATTTCCCCAGCAGATACTCCACTCTCTAAACACGGGACTACCCCAATCCTCAGGTTCAGCTGGTTACTTCAGGCTCATGGTGGTAAGACATTTTGGCCATGTTTTGGCAGACAAAGCAATGACCACAACTCCCTCCTGAGGTCAAACCAGTTTCACAGCACACGGATCAGCTACACAAACCTCAGTGAACATTCAACAGCAGTGGCAGGATGAACATATGAAGCCTCATCTAAAAGACTGTAATATTATTTGATGTAATACTTTTCCTAGTTATCAGGAGAAACTACAGATTCATACATGATGGTCCACAGTATAAGTTCTCATTGTATTTTTAAGCTTACTGAGTGAAATATCTGTCACAATGCCTGTATTATATATTATGTTGTTTTTAAGACCTTATTCCAGTTGACCGTCCTTCACTTGCAAGACCAGAAAAAAGCTTCTTATAAAGGGTGAGAACTTAACTGTTGTTGTGTGGTGTGCAGCAGTCCAAAGGTGTGAATGAGTCTGATAACTGTAAAAATGTCTCTGCTGTTTTAAGTTGTTTTTAAAAACAGAGATAGTTGTCACTAAAATATGATTAAACTCTAGTGTCTTCACAACTGGTTACTCTACTGTGATATTATTTTCACTTACCATTTATTCTGATTGTGTATCCTGCCTATTGAATTAATTTTTAGACTGATGGGACAGATGTTTTTGGACCATTTAGTTTTTCTTCAGGCTTTTATATAAGGTATTAAGCTTTAGCTATTCTGGGCCTGTCATTGTATCTGTATATGCAGGGAAAGCGACAGTCACAAGTTTCTGAAGATTATTGTGATGACCCATTTTCACACTTTGCTATCGTCATGTTTGTATATTATCATGTTTTTTATTTCACCCATTGCTATTCTGTATTTTTTTACTTGGATTTTATTCTGAATTGTGTGAAATAAATGAAATGAAGTAGTGCAATGATTTCAACTCAGGCCCATCTGTACTCCAGTACTGAGATGTGTAGATACCAGGGATCCTGCCTGTCACATTCCATCATGGAGATTATGCAGTCTGGCTCTAGTATCAAAAACATCTGTCCAGTTATCAGGTCCTGATAAGTTCTTACCGAGCCGTAGAGTTTCCCTTTGTCACTCATGGCAAGGAAGAGACCACTTCTCATCCCAAACAGAGTCACCACTCCTCTCTCCACTGGGGAAATCTCTAGAAGGGCTGGGATGAAATGAGACCACAAACAGCAGCAGATAGTGTACATCAAGAAGAGAGCTGCACCTCATCATCAGTATTGGACCATTGTTTTACTCTTTACTATTATTTCTCAGCTTTCATTTGCAATAAAGTTACCGACACACACACAGAAAATCACATTGTACTGCTGGCCTGATAGTTTACACATCTTGTAGTTTTGTTTTAACACTGTCAGTTCAGCAGATCTCAGGGCTGGAACCTGATCTGTCTATCCTGGTGGCCTTCGTCTGTGCTCACACATTACAGACACAGGGTTTACATGGACTCTAAGTCATCTATAAACACATTTACAGGTGCATCTCAATAAATTAGAATATCATGGAAAAATTAATTTATTTCAGTAATTCAATTAAAAAAGTGAAACTCATATTATATAGATTCATAACACATAGAGTGAAATATTTCAAGCGTTTATTACTTTTAATTTTTATGATTATGGCTTACAGCTAATGAAAACCCAAAATTCAGTATCTCAGAAAATTTGTACTCTGAAAAGTATGTTCACTCAATACTTGGTCGGGGCTCCTTTTGCATGAATTACTGCATCAATGCGGCATGGCATGGAGGTGATCAGCCTGTGGCACTGCTGAGGTTATGGAAGCCCAGGTTTCTTCTCCATGGTCATTAAACCAAGTATTGGTACTTTTGGCAGTGTGGGCAGGTACCAAGTCCTGCTGGAAAATGAAATCAGCATCTCCATAAAGCTTGTCAGCAGAAAGAAGTATGAAGTTCTCTAAAATTTCCTGGTAGACGGCTGCGTTGACTTTTGACTTGATAAAACACAGTGGACCAACACCAGCGGATGACATGGCATGCAAATGATAAAATGCTAAATTTACTTTTATCTGAAAAGAGGACTTTGAACTACTCAGCAACAGTCCAGTCCTTTTTCTCCTTAGCCCCGGTAAGACACTTCTGACATTGTCTCTGGTTCAGGAGTGGCTTGACAAGAGGAATGCGACAGTTGTAGCCCATGTCCTGGATACGTCTGTGGCTGGAGTCAGGCTGTCAGTCTGTCAAATTCTTGAATGGCCTTTGCTTCACAATCAAGGCTGCGGTTATCCCTGTTGCTTGTGCACATTTTTCTACAATACTTTTCCTTCCACTCAACTTTTTATGAATATGCATGGATACAGCCCTCTGTGAATAGCCATCTTCTTAAGCAATGACCTTTTGTGGCTAACCCTCCTTGTGGAGGGTGTCAATGACTGTCTCCTGGACAACTGTCAAGTCAGCAGTCTTCCTTGATTGTGTAGCCGACTGAACCAGACCTTTTAAAGGCTCAGGAAACCTTTGCAGGTGTTTTGAGTTAATAAGCTGATTAGACTGTGACACCGTGAGTCTACAATATTGAACGTTTTCACAATATTCAAATTTTCTGAGATACTGAATTTTGGGTTTTCACTAGCTGTAAGCCATATTCATCAAAATTAAAAGAAATAAACGCTTGAAATATTTATTAATATTTCAATATACGAGATTCACTTTTTGAATTGAATTACTGAAATAAATTAACTTTTCCATGATATTCTAATTTATTGAGATGCACCTATATATATGCAGTAGGAATCACTGCTGCTTTTTGATTCCACAGTATCCTCATTCTCTTCAGCAGTGCCAGTGTATTTTATATATATATATATATATATATATATATATTTAAAATGCTGACAATTCATTCATTATGATTATTATTATCATTGTGATAAATTACTATTTTTTAACAGTTTTTACAGGAATGACTGGTCCTGTATATTCATAACATAAAAATTACCTGGTTAAATTCATTAACCAGCTGGTTATGACCAGTGTCACAGCTTTACATGGATGTCAATGAGGAATGGTAAGATTACTTACTGTATCTGTTCTCATTATGCACACCGGTGATCTTCCCATTAGGCAGGACTTGGATGTGGAAGCCGATGCCCACGTTACAGTAAAGTCTTCTCAGTCTTTTGATCCCCAGCAGGTAATCTCCATTGCTCGCTGTCACTTCCCTCTTGTCCCAGGAGCTGGCAGCGGCCCGGACGAGCGACATGGCGCTCTGCAGGGTTTGTCTCTTACTGCTGATGACTGGGAGAGGAGCAAAGGAGCTGTACAGGAGGATCCCATACAGGAGCAGTGGGAGCTTGGACCCTGATGATGACATCCTCTGCTTACCAGTCCTGCGGTTCACAACTACTGTGTGTCTCAAAGCCAATTAAATGTTCACTTAGTATCAACAGAAAAAACTCTTTCCATGAAACAACAGGAAGAAAACTTCTCAACGGCTGCACAACTCTTCCCAGCCCAGAGAGAAGTTTCAGTTTTCATGTTGAAACATCTCCAAACTGTCAATCCATGAGGGTCCAGTTTACCAGTGTAGTTTCCTCCTCAGGTAGATCCTGCAGACAGACAGCAGACTTATATCTGGCCCATATTACATCACACACCACCTGCTGTCTTGTTTGTCTGTGAGTCACAGATGCTGTAGAAGCACACAAACTTAAAAACACACAAAACACATAGTGACAGAAAACAAAGAGGAACACGCAAGTACACAGAGATGTGGACAAATACATAAGTAAAGGGAGAAATGTGACAGAGGAGTCATTTTCCCTCTATCACCATGTTAGACGTCATATCAACATGGTTGCCCCCATCCTCCCCAGTCTGTTCTGACTCTGTAACATCTGTGTTTCATTTGATTTATTGATTTATTTCAAGTTTAATGTCATTTTAAAGTGAAGACACAAGCACTTAGTGTTGTGTGAACTGAGCTCCTCTGTTGACAACAATCTGTTGCTCCTGGGAACATGACTCTGAAGCAGAGGATTGTGTCCTTTCTCTGGACCTTTCTGACAGGATGGAGACCACCCAGAGATTCAAACTCTGACATGTTTTAATTATTGACAGAGGAGTTTACTGAAAGTTTTATTGTGGCAAAGGTGATAAAATAAAAGCACTGCAAGAGAAGCTGATTAATTTGCACATAAAGCTCCGTTGAATGTAACTTTTGTGGTTCAAAGGACATTTGTGGAAACACAAGAAGCATTTTCCACCACTGACCCCTAACAATGCACCTCCAGCTCCAGCTGCAGGGCGCTCAGCAAGCTGAAAAACATTGGGGTGACGGAGGCAAGTAGGAAACACATACAGAAATCCTCTGCTCACTACCATCTCATCCACAACAACCCCTCCACCGTCACTTGCTTCCACTGTGGTGTCTCTATTCAGGGCCAGTTGCCCCCTGGACCTGAACATGCAAATGTGGGTTTTGTAGTAGTAGACTCAATTCTCAAGACTGAAATATTAATGAGAATAATTCCTGATCCCTTCCATGTCCAAAATTCTTTCAGATAAGAACAATTCCAAAGCATGTGAAGTAAATCTCTATCACAAGTTTTACATTTCTGACAGTTATTGGTTCTATTAAAAATGTTAAACTGTATTTAGTCGAGACCAATACAGTTGGAGATATTTCAAGGATATTACACCAATCACCATAGCTACAATGGAGATCTGTTTCCCACTTCAAGTTAGTATTAAAAATACATACATAAATAGAAGATGTTGTAAACAAGTCTTCACCAGTCAAAAGATTTTCAAATGGGGATTCTGGTAGTATTTGTGGAAAATCTGTGTATCTGTTGTGAATCCAGTGTCTAATCTGAAAGTATTTTAATAAACTATAATTTGAAAGATTAAAATGTTCCCTTAGTTGTTGAAAATTGGTGAAGAAGGAAGCTGGGTTCTATCCTGTCGAATGCCTTCTCCACATCCATGGATTAGCATTTTATGTGTGAGCCGCTTCCATATTATGGAAAAGTCTCCACACATTGTCAGATCCATATCAATTTCTTACAATGCCTGTCTGGTCAGAAAAAATTGTAATTTGAATTCAAGAGACTGAGGGGCCCATAAGACATACACTTTGTACAATCCTTGCCAGGTTTTGGTAACAATGTTATAGTAGCCAATTCCAGGGAGGGAGTTAGGCAAAGTTTTATTAGCCAGAGATTCCTTTCGGATGTTTATTAGGGAGCTTAGGAGCTTTTTGGAGAAGGCTAGAAAGCCATCTGGCCCCAGAGCTTTGTTATTCTTTAGGGACTTAATGGTGTTGAGAACCTCTCCCTCAGATATGTCAGCATCAAGACGATCTTTGTCCTTGGGATCTAATTTAGGTAAAGTTAATGAATTAAAAAAATGTTTTTGCTTTGGTGTTTTCTACATCATGGTCTGTCTTGTACAATGTTTCATAAAATGTCCTAAATTCTTGATTAATGTCCTGTGGGTTGAAGAGGGGGCTGCTACTGACTGGATAAATCTTATCAGTTTCTTCCTTTTTAATTTGCCAAGCTAATAATTTACTAGTCCTATTTCCAAATTCATAGTAATGATAGTTGGCCATGGCCATGGCTGCCTCAGTTTTATTTGTACATAAATTATCATACTGAATCCATTTTGAACCCAGTGTGTTAAATACTAGTTCACTTTTAGTATCAGCATGTTTATGTTCAAGATTTCTAATCTTCTCTTTTAAAGATACAATGAGAAAGAATTTGTCCTCTCATATATGCCTTTAAGGCTTTCAATATGTTGGAGTGGGAAGAGGAATTTGCATTAGTTTCCATGAATAAATCAATGTGCCCATTTATAAATTTAATGAATTCAGGGTCCTTAAGCATATATGTTTTAAATCTTCAGTTGTAAAATGGTGATTGTGTAATACCCATCTCCCAAGTAAACTTTAATGGGTTATGATCAGACAGCATAGCTGCCAAGTGGGAGCATTCAGTAATGCTGCAGATCATATTTTGTGGCATTAGTAGCATGTCGATTGTGGAGTAGCAGCCATGGACACTTTAGGTAAAAGTCCTTTACAGTATGATTAAGTTGGCACAAAATATGACATAATCCCAAATCCTTTCCAAAGCTGCCTTTGATTGATTGAAAGATTTTGGAAAGGATAGGTCCAATATTGGGTCTCAGGCAAGGTTAAAATCACCACCAACCAAACAGCAGCCCTCAGCATCTGCAAGTTTTAATGTCAAATCAGTACAGAAAGCAGGATTGTTGTGGTTGGGGCCTTATACATTAACTAATGTGACCCTATTCATATTGAGTTCATATTGAGTTCACAGTTTCACCAAAATAAATCTACCATTTTACTCTTTTTCTGTTGGTATTAATTTAAAATTCAAGTTTTTGTTGACTTGTATAGCAACTCCCCTTGCTTTTTTGGTAAATGAAGAGTAATAGACATAGCCAACCCAGTCCCTTTTTAGTTTTATTTGCTCTGTGTCAGAGAGATGGGTCTTTTGGATAAAATATTGTTTCTTTAAATATGTGAGAATTTTTCTTCTCTTAATTGGAGAATGAATCCCCCTCACGTTCATGGAAATTAGTTAAATTGAGAAGTCATACCTTAAAGAGATGAGATAAAAATGAAGTAATACCTCAAAACATAACAATGGAACAAGAGCAGATGTAAAAAAGAAAACAATTGAAGAGAAAAACCATACCGTGTCCCACCCCTTAAAACCCCTAAAGCTGAAGATCCCCCGTGGGTAGGCTACTTTCTACATTTATGAAGGCCTTTAATAGTTATAAAAAGGTGTAAAGAACATCAAACCACATTGAACAAAAATTCTGTGTTCTATAGTCTTTGACTGAATACTATCAAGTATTCAGTCTGAGACCTGTCAGAACAGTATGAATGGAACTTACAGTTTAAAAAGTAAACACCATATATCAAATATAGCAGGAATTGCCCTGAGCAAATATCAGGTGTAATTAAAACAGTTCTTAGCCTACAATTTCTGGAAGGAGAGATTGGAGTCACACCAGTTTTCAACGGTGCATGTGCGTGTGTGTGTGCAGATTAATATTTTGGGTTTTAATTTATAGTCACAGGGCTTCAGAAGGCTAAGGTGTGTTTGTGGGCAATAGTGACTAACAAGTGCTTAAAAAGAAATCAGAAAATAGCAAAGAAGTTGTTGTCTGCCTTGCAGACCAAGAAGAAAACAATTAGTAGCAGGAGTCAGTATAGCACATATTGTAGCTCCGACAGGCAATATGACAGAAAACTTAGAGGCATACAGATATAAACATGAAGTCTTTTCTGTCAAAGCTCTCCGCCCCCTGCAAAGCCAATGAGGAGGGACTCAGCATTCATTGTGTACAGTTTTCAACAAAAATCCAATGTCAGTGTGGCAAGCAAACTTGGCAGGAACAAAAATCCACAAAATCCACAAACAGCAAGAACCAGGATTAATATCCACAGGCAGAAGAACATGGGAACAACATCCACAGGCAGCAGGAAGCAGGAGTAAAATCCACACGCAGCAGGACCCAGCAGGAACATCCAAAGGCAACAGGAACCAGAAGGAATATCCACAGCTAACAAGCTAATTCGCTAATCAAGTATGTACTACTCAAGATAGATAAATATAGATAGATAAATACTTTATTTATCCCTAAGGGGAAAGTCCTAAAAACAGTAGTAATTGTGACTGCAGGCTCTGCTCATGGTTGAATATAAACAACAATGGACAATGTGAGAGATAGTATGATCTAAGACCAACTGCCAACAGTTCAACAGCAGATCTTCTCCTTCACTGTGATATGACCTGGGTTGCATTTCCTATTATTCACAAGCAGAACCAGTCCACCTTTATTCTTTCCACTTTGCTCTGGCATCTCTGTCTGCTCATACTGCAGTGAAGCCAGGTAAATCCACACAATGGTCAGGAGCATGATGTTTAAACATATCAGACTACACTCAAGTGATGCTCGCTGGTTCTTCACAATTGCCTCCAGTTCATCATACTTGTTAGCCCGGGAGTTGACATTTCCAATGAGGATTGATGGTAGAAAAGGCTTATATCTTCATCTCCTAGCCTGTAGCTTAGCCCTGGCTCTGCATTCGCGGTACAGCTTCTTCGGCTCAGTCAGTATGGGAAGTTTAACCTCCATCATCAGACAAAATGACATATACTAAAAATCATCAACTGACAAAAAATATAACAAATATATACAAATATATCGCAAAAGAAAAACTACAAGCTACACAGACTTGCTGCCACTTGTTGTCAGTGCATCATTTGAAATATAAATATATGAGTTTGTAAAACTATTTAAAGTTGTAATGCTTACATTTATATTGCT